ACAATAGTGTGCATGGCTGGCAATAAATACTGATAGAATGAGCAAAAAAACCAGATGAATGAATAACAGACTTTTTCAAAGGAGTTATTTATTTATTCATGAGAGACAGAGAGAGAGAGGCAAAGGCAGAGGGAGAAACAGGCTCCCCACAGGGCAGGGAGCCCAAATCGGGACACAATCCCAGGACCTCAGGATCACAACCTGAGCTGAAGGCAGACACTTAACTGACTGGGCCACTCAGGTGCCTCTGAATAACAAACTATTATGCAATTATTATTTAAAGCTTTAAAACTTTTTAAGGTATAAGAAGTACTTGTGATATAATGTTAGACAACTAAGATAGAATATCAGATAGTTAAACGGAAAATAGGACTGGTTAAAAAAAAGTATAGAAAAAAAAGAAATTTGGGGTGCCTGGGTGGCTCAGTCGTTAAGCATCTGCCTTGGACTCAGGTCATAATCTGGGTTCTTGGGACTGAAACCCACATCAGGCTTCCTGCTGGGAGCAGGGAAGCTGCTTCTGCCCCTCATTCCACCTCATTCCCCTCACACATTTCCCCCTCACCCCCTACTTATGCTTGCTCTCTTTCTCAAAAAATAAATAAATAAAATCTTTAAAAAATGAAATTTGTCACTATAATTTCTGAATGATAGACAATGATAGACTACACACCACACACACAGTAGGGAGGAAAAGGAGGATAACAGTGAAGAAGGATAAAGGGACAGGACAGAAGAGTCTTCTCAAAGAGAACAGGAGTTCCAAATGTTTCCTCAGACAGAGAAGAGAATGCAATGCTAACTAGTTTCCCAAACTACATCTAAAACCATCAAGTAAATCCCAGACCCCTCCTAGGAAGTACTTTGCCACCTCAGTTTGTCTCAGGAACATCAGCTGAGCTGGGAGGAAAATGAGAGGACAGAGGCAACTCTGGATAAGCTCAGCTAGAAAAGTTTGCAGCCTTGGCCTTGGCCTTGGCCTAGCCACCCAAATCATATTCTCCACATTTGCCAACCAATCCTTACTGATTACTGGTTACTGCCTGCTATATCCTCAGCACTGCTTTGGGGAACACTAAGAAGTGTGAAGTGTAAGGAATTCACAATCTAATGGAGAAATCGAAACATACATCAATATACATACATACCCACACATTTATGCATTCATGTCCGCATGTATTTAGAGGTAACTAACACTCAGGAGGTATGTGATAAGAATCAAATGAAGAGTTCAGACAGCAAGTGCTGTGAGACCTCCTAAGACAAGAGCACTGATGGACTGCGTGGAATGGAACGACGTCCTGCCAGAGATGAGAACTGAGCTAGAAACGGAAATAGCTAAAAAGCCATGGTAATTTGCACACCGTATTTTTCTTTCACCATAAGGTAGAATGAATGCAAATTACTCTCCCAGATCACAGCAAGGATCAAGAAGGTCATGAAAGGCTTCCCTCCGAAGGATTCCTACTAAGAATGCAGCTGTTGGGAGCAGACCTTTTAAGAGGCTTGAGCCTGGGATGCCCTAGGTAAAGAAATCCTTAGGAGCAGTGACCGAATCGTGCATCAACGCTTGTAGTAGCCACAGTCATTTCTGCAAGCGTTCTGGTCACAATGGCCAAAGAAATTAGAATTTAAAGAAAAATCATGGAATTTTTATTCTTGACTCTTAGTTACATCAAAGAAGCCCAGAGTCTGGGCTGGGTTTTTGTGTGTAAATGATTCAGTTTCATGAAAGAAAACTGAAGGGCCTGGATGTTCCAAGACAGGATAAGAAATGCCAAAACTCAATCACTTTTACTGCCACATAAAATCACCCACAGGCTGTCTTTCCTTCCCTCCTGTCCTCTCTAAGAGCTAGGACTATGTATGCAAATAGCCTCAGGGAGTTTTCCTCTCACTTTGTGAGTATAGACACAGTCTCAATAGTCTGAAGAAATTACAGAAAACTGTGGTTCCCCGAAATGTAGGTACAAAAAGCCTCCACATGACCCTTACATCTCAAAGAAGCAATGTCTATTTTTTTTAAAAGCTGAAGTTCTTTTAAAAAAAAATTTATTAAATCTTTTTGTACTCAAGAGAAATTATATTTAATAAAAACAGATATTACTTCATCAAAGCTATCCCATTCTTCTTATCAAGTTTTTCTGGGGTAGATTATCAGGGGTGCTCAGTCCGTAGGCCTTTTGGTCAGAAACAGAAAACATTTTAAATTCTTAACTACAGAGTCCCCTCGTGGGGAGAAGTAAGAATTAGAAACCACACAGTGCTATGAAAGGGCTCCTGCAGGCCTTACCAAACAGAAATACCATCCATCCTGCCCTCATGTCTAGCCACACCTGGGACAGGTGACCTCACCTGCAGTAGAAACATAATCTATGAGCATGAAACTTCCATAATATTATAGCTGTCTTGACTGCAAAGGTCCTTAAAAACTATTTGGTTTACAGACCGGAATAAAGACCTTTAGTCTTTAGTTAGGGATCATTAGCTCCTTCACAAAGGGATTATTGCCTGGCAGACGGACTCCTCTTGGGAGTCTAAACTTGCATCAGCCAACCACCCTTCAGCAAGGGAAAGGCAGATAAGTATGTCACCTTGGTGTGGTAGTGCCAGAGCCACAACCAAGGCACCCTGAGCCTCTGTATGGGACTCCAGCTCCAGATTATCCTGACACTTATCTTCTGGAGGCTAGTATATGATGCCTCCAAGTAAGAAGAATGAAGACCTGATTCATGCCACCACATGGATGAATTTAGGCAACATTATGCAGAGTGAAAGAAGCCAGACACGAAAGGCCACATATAGTATTATTCCCTTTATATGAAATGTCCAAATAGGCAAATCTATACAGACAGACAATAGATTTATGGTTGCCAAGGCTAGGGGAAGTGGGACTGGGGAGTGAGAACCTAATGGGTACTGGTTCCCTTTCGGAGTGATGACAGTGTTCTGGAACTAGATAGTAGTGATGACTGCACAGCACTGTGAATGTACTAAATGCCACTGAACTGCACACTTCAAAATGGTTAAGATGGGAAATTTTACATTATGTGTATTTTGCCCCTATAAAAAAGAAAAAAATATGTTACTTTTAGTTCCTGTTCTAGAAATTCTATTTGCTTCTTTTTTATATATGGTTATTTCTCCCTTGTGTTTTTATATCCTCTCATTTATTTAAACATGATAAACATGTTTTTAAATCATTTACACATGAAAGAAATAAGTCTTTGGAGATCTACATCTTTGGTTTATTTGTGCTGATGGTAGCTTTAAAAAAATGTGTGTTTGGGTTTTGTCTGTGAGAATCTTGTTGAAGCCTCAGTGAAGGGTAGACTCCTCCAGAAAAAAATTCAGTTTGCTTTTGCCACATGTCTGGATTTTCTACCAGGAATGATTTAGACTGTGCTTACAGTGTTCATTCGAACTCTAAAGCCACATGAGGACAGGCTTGTGATTGCAAAACCGAGGAGAGCTATCAAGAAAATGAAAAGAAAACTGAAAGGACCACACCATAAGGAGTCTAGTATTCAGAATATATAGACTCTTACAACTCTACAATAAAAAGACAGTTAATAAATGGGCATAAGATGAACAGTCATTTATTTCTCCAAAGAAAATATATAAATGGCTAATAAGCAAATGAAAAGGTGCTCAATATCAGTAGTCATTAGAAAAATGCAAACCAAAATCACAATGATGCCACTTCATACTTACAAGGATGGCTATAACTTAAAAAAAAAAAAAAGCAGAACATACCAAGTGTTGGCTAGGATGTGGATAAATTGGAACCCTCCTACACTACCGGTAGGAATGTACAAAGGTGCAACTGCTATAGAAAACACTTTGATGGCTCCTCAAAAAGTTACACATAGAATTACCATATGACCTAGTAACTCCACTCCTACATACATATCAAAAAAAAAAAAAACCCTGGAAACTCATATTCAAACAAAACTTGTACACAAAAGTTCATAGCAATAGTGGCAGCACTATTCATAATGACTAGAAGGTGGAAAGAACTAAAATGTCCATCAACTGATGAGTAAACAAAATGTAGTCTATCTGTAGAACAGAATATTATTCAGCCATAAAAAGGAATGAGGTACTGACATGCTACAAATGCATGGCCCTCAAAAACACGATGCTAAGTGAAAGAAGCCAGACACAAATGGTCACATATTGCATGACTCCATTTGTATGAAATACCCAGAAAGGAAAATCCATAGAGATAGATAAACATTAGTGTTTATCAGGGGCTGCACGGAGGTAAGGACTGGGAAATGACTGCTAATGGGTACTGACTTTCTTTACAGAGTGATGAAAATGTTCTGGAATTACACAATGGTGATAGTTGCACAGCACTGAATATACTAGAAATGACTGAATAGTATATTTTTTTTAAAAATCATAATAGTACCATTATTGATAGATATGTTCTCTCTATGAAACATCATTTTAAGAAATTTCAAATCCAAGTTCTAAAACCTTCCCAGCTAGGTACCTTTAGACAAGTTACTTAACCTGTGATTCAATAACATTATGCATAAAACAAAGATAACAGCAGTATCTACCTCCATAGGGTTGCTAGGAGAATTAGATGTGTTAATATATAGAAAGCACTTTGAACAGTGCTTGCCACATAGCCAGAATTAGCTAAGTGTTAGCTACTGTTATCATTTCCACTAATCCTCACAACAACCCCATGAAGTAGGTATTATTAGTTATTTCCATTTTGCAAATGAGAAAAACAAAGGCACAAGAATAAGCAACTCATTAGGTTATCTAGCTAACAAGTAACAATCAAACCTAAGATTCAGACACCAGCATTCTGGTTCCAGGGTTCCTGCTCTCAACTACTGTCACATTCTACCTCCCATAAATCTGGTATATAAAACCCCTGAAGTCATAGCTATTTTTGCCTAGCACGAGGTCCAATTAGGTATTTAAGGTTTTCAAAAAGTTAATCAATTTAAGTAAACACGTTAAAATTAAATACTACCATGGCCGGTATCCAGGTATGGCAAAATGAGCAACAGGCACATGAATAAGGTTTAGAAAATGCTGGAGTAAACCATGGAAATGTAAGATGCGAGAGAACACACCTAAGCTGTTACCGATATACTAAGTAAGCTACTACACACCCATGATTATAACCTGCATAGATCTCTTGTGTAATAACTCATCCCAAGCCAAAATTGTTCACCAGGTATCTGGCCCAAAGAGCGGGAGGCCAGCAGAACTCAGCAAGAGCCAGACTGAGGAAGAAATATCTAGATTAAAGTCAGTCAGGGGCTATGGAGTTGCCATCCCTTGACCTCTTTTTGAAAATGAACTGATCAGCTAACCACCTGCTAGCTGGTTTCCCACCTGCCACCTCTGGGAACATGAGGCAGGGGGATTTCTCCATTAGTCACAGCAGTCACAGTACCCACCATTCACCATACTTTTAGGAGCCCAGGAAAATGTTTTAATTTCTTTTTAAATCAAAAGAAAAAATTAATATAACCTAAGGCACATTACATTTATCTTTATACCAACATGGTTGTGAAATATATATAAATATATATTAAATATATGTGAAATATATATTTATATATCTGAAATATATTTTATATCTTTTTATATATTATAAAATACATTTATATTATATATTACAATATATATTTATATATTTACATTTTATGTTTGTGTGTGTGTGCACACACACATATATATGGAGGAAAAGGCCCAATAAGGCAAAAACACCTAGGGTCCAGAAAAGTCCTAATGTGGCCCCAATGCAGGGTGGGTCTCCTCACCTCTCCCTCCTGTGTCTGCAAGTAACTAGCTCAGCAGCCAATGCATGTAGCACCCTGTTCCCATTAGTGTCCTCTCAGTTTTGAGAAAAAGTGAAGACACAGGCTGGAAAACCCCGCACTCCTGAATCCCAGACTTCTGGCTTCGGGAGACTCAGCAAATAGAAAGAGGCCTGAAGCAGAGCAGGAGGAGTAGGAAACCCCTGGCACTCAGGATTTCTTAAGACTCTGCCCAATAATCTTCTTCCCCAAAATACCTTCCCCCTCCACTCCTGTCTGGAACCTCCCCATTACATACCCTTTTAAATAAAGTAATAAGTATTAAGGTGAAAAGTACACGGACTTTCTAGTCAAACTTGCTAGTATGACCATGGACGGGCATGGTACCTGACTTCCTGAGGGCTTGGTTTTGTTTAAAAAAAAAAAATGGGGGTGATAATAATGGTGGTTGTAAAGGTAAAAAGTAGGATAAATTGTGTACAGTGCCAAGCAGAGGGCCCACTATTAGAAGTTATTCTTAAATATAAAGGACATTAACATGTGCTGGAGCCCCTGCAAACACTTCTTGGAGGAAGAACCATAGAGCCTTCTATCGTGGCCCAGTCCTTTTTTATTTAGCACATTCGTGGAGAAAACCAGCTCAGGAAGGTAACTGTAGAAAAGGGAAGGGGAGAAGTAGTGGGGAAAGCGGGAACTCATCCCAGGTTTGCAACACTGTCCCGGGAATAAGGCGCGCTTTAGGCGCCTGCAGCAATACTGGACCTGGAATAAGGCGCGCTCTCGGCGCCTTGCAGAGCAAGGCTGCATTAAGAAGCACAGCAAACTTTGCACGTGCCAGGAACTGAAGGAAGAAGCCCATGCAACGCAGCATTCTTGGATGCATTAAGCACTTGGCAGGTTTCTACACTTGCACTCCGACGTGGGTTCATTACTAAAAATCTAAAGTCCTTGGAGCTTTCTCAAGAGGCAGGTTGGGTTTCTCGCAGCGCGCAAGTGACCACCCGGACTGCTCAGTAAACCTGACTACAAACCACCTCTCCCGGAATACACCGGATCTGATCGCAAACACCCAGTGCAAACAGCTAATTCTTTCGTCTTAATCACTAGCCCGATACTCGGACTTTGGGTACAAATAGAACAGAACTAAATAATCCTATCCATTAGTCACCAAGTTCTAGGAGGGGAGAGCAGCGCTCAGAGCCCCATGCAGGGTAGACTAACTTCGCTTTAGCGTACGTGGGTCGCTGAGGGCGTCTCACTTTCTGCAGCCCTATATCTCCATCTTTTCCCCCCTGAGGAAGCAAGCGACACCGCTTCCTTTGCGGTCTGGGGAGCATCGAACGTTGCGCGGAGGAATATGTTACAAACATTCCTCCACGAACTCCTGGATCTAGAGTGAAGTCTTGCCCCTCCCCACCCTCCAAAACTACTTTCCCGATCCAGTACAGGCCCATCTTCCAATCAGATATTTCGTCCTAGCTGGGAGAAGTCAGTTAAACTGCGATTTGGAGTCTCAGTTTTCCACACAAGCATGCCTATTCTTGCAAACACTCGCCCTATTTTACTTACGCGCCCCGACCGCCAGTGCGCCCCCGTCAGGTCCCACCGACACCAACCCGAGGTAATGCGAACGCTAATAGAGGGCGTCTAACCGACGCGAGCGCGTACACTTTGAACGTACCCCCTATATAAGGCGCGCAAGTCTCAGTTTCCGCGCCAGATCAGGTCCCGGCGTCAGAAGAGCACCCACGGGGCAGTTAGTCCCAGCTCTCGCCACCGACCCTAGCGAAGAATTTGTGGATGCGCTAGGCTTCATCGACAGCACTGAGGACATGCAGCGTAATTTCGGTTGCAACCCCTACGACGCCGGCTACCGCAGCCTGGGGGTCGAGGTGGAGGATGAACAGTACGGTCAGTGCCTAGACGGGGACAGGTGCTTTGGCAAACTGCAAGAGAGGAACTTCCCTGGGAGGGTCGGGTGGACGGGCCGCGGCGCGGCTATCGCCCTCTATCTTCCATCTCAATCCCTTGCCTCCTCAGCCCACGCAGCGTGGGCTCCAACGCTCCGGCCTCTGTTTTTGCTTTTTTCCTTTCCCAGATGCGAAGCCAACCTTAACTTCGTTGGTTCTAATGGGAGGAGGGGAGGATACACGGTCCGAACCTGAGCGCGAAGGGGCGGCGGCAAACTGCGTTGGCGCGGGAGAGCGGAGCTCCCCGAACGAGGAAAACCAGGAGGGAGGCTTTGGCGGCGGCTTGGAGCCCCCGCAACAGCAGGAGGAGCCGCCCCCCCCCGGCCCTGCAGGGGCCACTGGTCGCGGAGAGGAAGCAACGCCGCTACCGCACCGCGTTCACCCAGCTGCAGCTGCAGGAGCTGGAGGGCATTTTCCATCGCACCCAGTACCCCGACGTGTTCGCGAGGTAAGTGGCTTGTTCCTCATGCGCGCACTTCTCCAGGGGCCTCAGAATCTTAGGCTTTCTCCCGGGACCCCTTTCCTCCTCTCTTGAGCCAAAAGCCACTTAGGGGGTTCGAGGGCGCCAGGGTCCGTCCTTGCCCTCAGAGGTTGGGGCAGTGAGACAGTAGCGGAACTAGGGTAAAAGGGTGAAGCAAGTAAGGGAGGGCGGGTTGATCCCGCTTTTATTTAAAATTTTGGTATTTTGTACATCGTGAGTTTTTTTGCGTTAATTTTTGTATTTTTAATATTGCATTAGAATATTCATCGTGATTGCTCAGTTTTTTCCTGCATTTAAAATTTTGCGCACGAGGCGAGTTCGCCTCACCTTAGTCTCGGTTCTGCCACGTGGAGCGCTATTTCCTGGCGGCAGAGTTTCGAGCGTTTAAAAAGCCAGCGGACAAGGAACCCTTGTGGTGGGATCGCGGATTGCAGTAGTGTACGGAGGGGCAGGCCTATTCTGGCCCAGCAAGAATGCGGGGCGGGTGGGGGGAGGATCAGGACGTATCTCTGTGAGGTTTTAGCGGCACTTTTTCTGGTTCTGATGTATTCAGGCTTTGCCCACCAAAGAGCAAAAAAAGAATCTCCCTCGAGCGCTTGGCCAACGGTTTGGAGTTCCTCCTTGAGAGTTCCCCCTCTCCCTTTACAATAAACCCTGGAAGTACTCTGCCTGCTTCAGAACTCCACTTTTAAGGCTTTTGGCGTTTTATTTATTTTCACAGGAAAATAAATAAATAAATAAATCTTTTCCCAAGAAAACATTTCCAGCGTTCTCTGCCGTTCCACAAACAGAAAAATTGATTGAGTCATGGTCAACAGACATACTACCAGGAAATTTCATATATGTTCCCTTTTTCTATCTTATTTAATAGAGATAAGTTGTCCGAGGGAAAACTCCTTAAAGCAAGCCTCAAGCTGTATTACAGAAAACTGCACTGGGAGGGGGGATAGAAATAATGTACATGATATATTTCATTTTATCCACAGCTCCAAATACTAAACATTTGCAATTTTCCTCCCACAGAGAAGAGATTGCTGTACGTCTGAATTTGACTGAAGCCAGAGTGCAGGTCAGTAAATCTTAAAAGAGTGCTTGGTACAGGGCAGCCATTCTAAAACATACTTGAGATTTTGTCCTGGACATTCTGAAGTTGATGTGGTTTGTTTCCATGTTTCACAAATAAGTTTTGAACATTGGGTGCCTTGGGGATGGGAAATGGGATAGGTAAGCTGGAGCTTCTGGAAATTTCCCACTACCAGCGGAAATATGATTTCCTAATGGAAAAAAAAACAAACACACTGTTTTCCCCAATAAAGTTCCCCTCCTTTTAACACTGGTATCTTTCAGGAAGGATGTTAGTCCTCCCTAAAGGAATATTTCTATGTAGAATCATGTTGGGGCTCAGTTCCACGTGCGAAATATACAAATTAATGCACTGAAGATCTAGGTTAAAAGAAGGTTTAACCATACTAAATTACTTGAAATATTTAAAACCAGGTGTAAGCTCTTGGCTAAATGAATAAATTTATAAATATTCAGACATTGGGATGAAGGAGTTATTCACACGGAGAACACTTGGCATGAGTAACTAATAAATGTTTAGTAAACTGAAACTGGGGTGGGAGAGTAGCTTTAAAGTCCCAAGTACCTGATCCTACTTCCTACTGCTATTTTTTAAGGGTTTTGTAAAGCAGCATAGAGAGTGACAGCCTTAAATTTTTAATTTTTTGGAAGACTTTGATGTCCGCCTGAAACATTGTTAAAATATTACGATTATGGTAGTAATGGGGAAAGGAAAATTGTCTTGAAGAATGGAACAAAAAAAGGGAACCAATTTTAATAAAGTTCCATGGACCTAAAAAGAGGTGAAAGTTTAGTTATGTATTGTATACATTCAAATATATGCATTACAAATGTCACACAAATTCAACTTTATGAAGCTACCAAATGTATAAATGAATTTTGTCATGAGGAACCTTTAACACTCTTAAGAATTTTTTCCCTTTTTTTGGGTAGTAATACTTTGAAAAGGTGGGTTTTCTGGAATCTGATTATGAGAGTGTTCTCATTTCAGGCCAGATTCTAACTTGTATTAATTTATTTTTTTAAAGATTTTATTTATTTATTTGACAGAGAAAAAGTGCACAAACATGGGGAGCAGCAAGCAGAAGGAGAGGGAGAAGCAGGCTCCCCTGGAGCAGGGAGTCCAATGTGGGGCTTGATCCCAGGATCCTGGGATCATGACCTGAGCCAAAGGCAGATGCTTTTAACCAGCTGAGCCACCCAGGCGCACCACTTGTGTTAATTTAAAACACTTTTCAGGAAGTGATTATTAATTTGTTGGTCATGGGATATCTGAGGTCATAGAAAATCATAGGTTCATCAAAGAAATAGGACAAGTCTTCTACTTTCTCAGGCAGGCAAAGTAATCTCAGAGAAAATAAAGAGGTTTGCTGAGTTGCTTTTCCCCCTCCCTGGGTTTATGTAGTCCTCTCAGTGGATTTCTGAAGGGAAAATGAGCCAGAAAATCCAAGTAGGGAAGAAGACTATGCTCGCACATATTTTCAAGCTTTGCAACATGAATTTCTTCCAAGAAACTTTATAAAAGATGCTTCCCCCAGCCTTTTGCAAATATAGGTGATCTCTTTTATGAAACCAGTATTGTGAATATGGACCTAATACTGGCCCATAGCAAAATTTGCCAGATGTGGGCTTTATTTAGGTTTAGGGAGATTTCACCACTGATACATTAGAATCTCTCCAAAATAAGTTCTACTACACTGACTTTTTTTCAGAGTATATTCATCCAGCAGGACCCCAAATCCTAAAATGGGAAAGAGAAAAGGTAGCTGTCCAGAGAGAGAAAAGGCCCTTTGTCTCAATTAAAATACTGCAGTTTGGGAACTTCCAAAATGATTAAATACAATGTAAACCTGATTAACTAGTATGCCAAGAGGACAGTAAAGTCTAACTGACAACTTTTTCATCTGTTTGTTTGTTAATAGTTGGCAAACACTCAGGGAGGAACCTCTTTTGTGAGCCCTACCTACTCCCATTGTTGTTGAACATCTTCCTTAAATGCATAATTGGACCTTCTGGCCTTAGGAATAAGTGATGGGATTGGAGCCCCCCTAGTTAAGGATTGGAGCTGGCAGGACCTAAGGTGCCCCGCCCCTGTGGGTCACCGCAGCTTCTGTCCAGAATCCTAGAACTAGCTAGAGCTGAATGAGCGGACCTTCTGAACCCAGGGAGGTTTGGAGGGTAAGGCAGATGGGAGCATGCAAAATTGATAGTCACGACAATGGGGTACCCAGTCTCTTATCTGGGGAAAAAATTTTCAGTTTATTGAATTTGGATTCGGTTAGGTTAAACTTTCCTTAACACTAAAGGCTAAAATGGCAAGGCAATGTGAGGGGCTTCAGCAGCTCACGTCCCAGCAGTCCCTGGAACCCCATAATCAGGCCTCCTTTGACATACTTTTTTGTTTAATTCTCACAAGGCTTAGAAGAATGATCCCTTAAACATCACTGAAGGAAACTTTTCTGTCTAAAACTGCAATGTGCTCCTATGGATTAGTAACTTCAGACTGAAGAGAAGTTTTTCGAAAAAGGGGTTGTTCCCATCAGCATGACTTTACATCAGGCCCACTTTTATACCATGTTCAGCCTCCCCCATAGCCAACGTGACACTTCCCCTGGTGAGGAGGGAGTGGGAGCATCTGGACAGCTGATGAGCCAATGTGTCTTTACCCTGTTGCCAGGCATAGGCATTAACGTCAGGGAGCCAGTGCACATTATCACTTAGACTTAACATCCAAAACCTGGGAGGGATAAACATTAAAGAATATTAAAAACAGGAAGGGAGACAAATCAATGTGCCCAAGTCTGAACTAGCCATGACTCACTAAGGATTAGCTGAAGGGAGGTATTTGGTTTGCTTTCCCAAGTTACTTTAGTAATAAGGACATAACTCAGCCACGCCCCCCCCATTTAAAAGTTCAATGGCAGCATTGCATGTTGTGTGTTTTCTATTGTGACATTGACAGTTCAAGTACTAAACCAATCCTTTTTTTTCCCTCTGATTGAAGGTCTGGTTTCAGAATAGAAGAGCCAAGTGGAGAAGACACCAGAGGGCCCTGTTTAGAAATCTGGCCCCCATTGCTTTGGGCCCTCCTGTGGGGGTGATCTTTGAAGGGCCCTATGCTATCCCTGTTCTAGAACCGGGGTGGAGATGTGTTCCTCTGGTGCCTCGGGGGCTCATGCCTCCTGGGCCTCCACCACCACCTGTGCTCCCCGGGCTACCTCTGCCCCCCGGGCCACCCATGCTGCCAATGCCACCTCCACTTTTGCCTCCCTTTGCTCTGGCCCCTGTAGGCATGGCATGGGCCCCTGTCATCAATGGTCATTTCGCAGGGCCCATTTTCTGAAGTATGGTCTTTATGACAATTTTTCCAAAGTTTTTTTTCTGCCAGATATAAATTGTGCATAGCACATCAAGTAATTCTTCAAATAGCTGTTAAATGAATTGAGTAACTGAACTAAATCAGTGCCTTTTGTTCTTGATAAGGCAAGTTGTATTTTCAATAAAGTTGAAAATAAATAACCTATTGGTTTTTAGTGCCTAATGTGATAAATGGGGTATACATGCAAATTACTAAGGGAATGGCATTCCAACAGAATATCAAAGAGGCCACCTTTCATAACATAATACCCCTGAGTCCTGAGTCACCATCAAGAGGCCATGCACACCACAGTTTTCCAAGTGCCCGTGCTGGTTTATAGGATCAAACAATCTTCCACATGCCCCATCCTCAACAATGCTCATCCCCACCCTGCCCCATTTGGAGCACATCCCTGTGCAATTTGGGAAGAGGTGAGTCTCTGATGAGAGGGCAGTGTGTTTCCAGGCAGGGCCATGTTCCATTCATGCCAAGAAGCTCAACAGCCACGGACTGTGAGACAAACTTCCTAAGAGGTTACTCACAGGGCCGTTAAGTGAACGTGACAGCCAAATTCTGAATTCTGTTCACTGCTCTCCATTTTGTGGAAGTGATAGGGAAATGGGAATCATTCTGGTTCAGACACAAGAAGGGGATCCAAGAAGGTCAGAAAGGGGCTCTTCTCTGTTTTCTCATCCCTACCCCCAGACCAAGAAAGCCTATTACTGTAGTTTCCCCACAGCTCAGAGGCAGACAGTCCCACCTTTAGGTATATTTTGTCCCCTTCAACATCCAAGAAATGGTCCCCTGGACAATGTTCTAGAATTAGCACTCACTGAAAAGAGGCACACCTTTGCTTTTCCATGCTGTCTGCATGCAAAGCTGCCAAGGGATGAAAACAAAACCTAAAATGGGAGGGAGAGGATGAAGCCAGGCCCACTCTTCTTAAAACATCACTTTTCGGTAAGATTTCTGCTTTTGATCAATGTACGGTCATTTTCTGACCACAATCATGCTATGAAATAACTACAGTGACTTAAGGGTGTCACAGGGGCCTAAGAATCCTCTCACGGAAAGTGGGTTGGGGAGGGGGAACCCCAAATAGGAGTTTCACAGAGGTTATATGTTCCTAGTTTGAAGGGAGGCTTTATTATCTTGGGAAAGCCTATGATTTTTTGCAGTGTTATCCAATACTTTTCAATCCTCTCTTCCAATCTGTCACATAAGGATGCCAAACATCAGCAAAACAGTCGTATCTAATGTGGGGCTTCTGCAGTGAGGAGGTCATTGGGAGGGAGGAACATCCAGAAAGGCATCAGCATGCCGATTACCATCTTTACTGGCTAGTTTTGAAACAACCATTCTCTCCCATTGTTGACCATTTTCCTTCTCGTTAAACATCAGGTCCCTGAGTGCTTTAAGTCCTCTTGGAAATACAGGGTCTGTACAAATAAATCAAAGTTCCAGGACCCCATCTAGCCCTGCCACACTAAGATTCGAAGTCAAACAGTGACAACCCAGGACACAATTTCTGCCGCTAACTCTCAAATTCAGTCTGGCACAAACATAGAACATGTTTTCCCTCAGGCTGCCTGAAAAAACCAAAAGCACAAAAGGGAACATCCTTTCCCTTAAGTAGATGGGGTCTTCAAGAATTGTATGTACTATTTTAAAAATTATATCTACTTTGAGGTGCCAGAAGGGGGGTGGGATGTGAGCAGAGGAAATATGAAAAACATTTCTGCAGATAATAGGTTCCCCCAATGTCAGTTTTAAAAGGGAGAGTTTTTTTAAAATAATCCCACAAAGAGCATTCCTCTTAAGGTGCATTTCAAATATCCCTAAGGCATAGATCAGGAATGAATTTGTTCTAATATAAGGACATTATTTAGATAAAATCTCTAGAAACTAGCTATCAGCCAATATGTTTATCTGAGATAGAGTCTTTATAGATGGAGGTTTGAGCTGAACTGTAAAAATCACAATTTCAGGAGGAGTACAGGAGGTTTGGCACTTTACAGTAATAATTTTGGATGTGCTCTTTCTAAAGTTGTTTCTTATTGAAGAACATATGACAGGGAGCTTTCACAATAGTAACTTTCATAGTCAAATAAAACAAGATGTGAAGTATTTGGTGGGGGAGAATAAAGACTTTCTGATTAAAACTAGATTTATGTGACCTGGATCTTGTTTCAAACAAATCTAGTCAGAACAGTCTAAGCTGGAAGTGCCTGAGAAATCAAAATCTCAGCCATCATTGAGACAAGTACTTATGAGAAAAAAAAAAAAAGGCAAGGAAGGAAGGGACTAAAAGTAGTTCTTCAGCTGAGCATACAAGGATTCTCCCTTGAAATAGGTATGAAAAGTGACTTTTTTAAAAAGAGAAGAATTACTGTAAATGTGTAAAAAAAATAAAGGAATAGAGTTTGACCTGAGTTGTTGTCAAAAGAAATCAGACTTTTGCCCAAATTCTGTTCGTGGGGTGTTATACCTAAAATTGGGCATGCTCTGAACACATATGGATATACTGTTTTACCACCCAACCACTCAGTCCCAGTGTGACTCTATAGATTGGTGAAAACCTGAAAGTAAAATAATGGTGTACAATAATAGAGTTATTCCCCCGAAACTCCTGATGGGTAAATTCAACTTCCTCTAATTTGAATCCCAGGGCCTCCTATTGGTGGAAATGGGGGAGTCAGTACAAAGTGGTACATAAACTAGGGTTCTCAAACCTTGAGTGGAGGGCAAATGATATCATAACATAATCCTCACCCCACACCCTTCTTTCTAAGAATGCTGATCTAGATGATTCTTCTTGGGGGCTTTTCTCATGCTTCCTCCCACTTTCAATACAATAGGATGTCCCAAGGAGAATGAACCCTGGCCTCAGATAGCTCCTCTTCTTCAGAGGCACTTTTTCATTTTCCTTCAGAGTATTTTCACACAAGATCCCATCAGTTTGGCAAGGGAGAAAAACTCATTTACAATTCCTACAGTAAAAAGATGGCCATGACAGGGGAACCAGTCCCATCATGTCACTCCACTTTTTCAAGCAAATTGTCTTTCTTCTGGGGGACACTCAGCTTAAAGGAAGAGACAGACACTGGTATTCTCCCTGAACTGGAGGGGGCTTTCATGGTAACCCAGACCACTCCCCCCCCATTTTACAGATGAGGGAACACAGGCCTTCAGGAGCCGTGGCATTGCCTGCCCGAGGTAGCATGCCCAGTTCATTCCAGAGAAGGCCAGGCTCCTTGTGGCCATGCCCTCTCCCTGGGACCCAGGATTTCCCAGCTTGCGGGGTGGGCACACACCAAGCGAGGTTCAGCTCCTCCGTGCTGTTCACCTCCATCTTCCCAGAACACTTTCCTCCAAGGGGCTACAAACTCAAGGCTCCTCCCTAAGTCTCGGCACCGGGCCATTTTACCTCTAGGAAAAGTAAGCAACTCCCCCTGAAGGCGTGCAGGATCCTGGTGTCCACTCTTGAACGCTGAACAGCAGGGGCTTGAGAGAGTGATGCAGTTTGTACCCTCCTCACAAAAGGCCAAGTGAGCTTCCACAACAATAACCCTCATTTCCCCCAATCCTCTTGCAAAGCGGTGCCTGCCAACTGGCAGCACCACACATAAGAAACAGCCAGCTCTGGGCTTGTGATGAATTAACTTTTTTTGTAAAGTAGGCTAATAGTTTGGAAACTGTCATTACGCAATTAGTATTCATTTTGAAATGTGGTTATTTATGCTCTCCCTTGATCAATGTCACACTCTCTCCTTCTCAGATGTCACCGCAATGCTATGAGGCCAGGACACAAGGCACAATGGTATAAATCTACTTTGCAAATGCCCCCGGTGGTCTGTATGCCTCCCCATGCAAAGTGTTAGATCTTAAGGAGACTTTCTGGATTCCCAACATTTACATGCAACTATTTTTAGACCCTAAGAAGACAAAAGGCGCCTTCTGAAAGCACACTCTGTTGTGCTTCACAAACAAGGGGACACAAGTGATTGAAGAGGTGGCATACAGGCAGGGACAACATAATTGATACACCTGGATCCTTCTGATGCACAGGCCCCAACAAAACTAGGGCCTCTGAGAACTACAGACTTGGAACACAATTTCTCTATTCTTGGCCCAAAAATCTTGGCTTGGGGAGAAAACAAGAGGCAGGGTAGGGGCCAATGAATAGTCTCTGACCAGTTACCCTTGAACAAGGGAGACAAAAAGATGAAGCAAAAGAAGTTTTAAAGCCAGGAGTAGAATAGGAACCTGTGGGGACTTGGGGGGAGAAAGAAACCCGTGTTCATGGCTGGGGTCCCGAGATGCCACTGCAGGGTAGGAAGCTGGGTAGTGAGAGGACACTGGCAACTGGGCAGTGTCTCTGGGAGGTAGCCAGTGGGGCCTAAGGTGGTGGCCCTGGCCAGCTGGGCTTTACAAAAAAAGAAGAAAGGAAAAACAGAACTTGGGTTGATATGCAAATTAGTCCCTAATATCTCCTTCCATAATCCCCATCACAAGGTAAAGCAGTGGGGCTGCTCTGTGTATTTTCCTCTCATCTCTACTTTCCTTTAACTCAACTGATCTCCTTAAGGGGTCTCCCCAGGATTAAAATATTCAAGAGGAAAGAGGGAAAGGGCAGGACAGAGAGGGTGTCCTACTATGTGACCACCCTGACCCTGGTCCCCAGCCCCAGCACCTGAAAAAACACCCAGGATTCTATTTCTTCATATTAACCGGAGGGAATTTCCAAGGATGTCCAGTGAATGCCATGGGCCCACCTACTCTTTCAAAACCTCAACTCCAACAGTGAGTGAGAAAGATACTGCAGGGTGCTAAACTGGTTCTTCTGTTAATTTAAGACAGAGGCCTAGACTTCAGGCATCCCATGGTCAAGTCTCATCATCCCTCGGTGAACACATTCTATAGCTTTGTAACTCTGCTTAACACTGTTCTAGAGAGTGGTCAATCCATTCATTCCAAACAGAAAGTAAGGAGGCTGGTTACAAGCTGTGATTCTAGC